GCTGAGGCCCAGAACGGGGTAAGTGACTTATCAAAGTCCCACCACAGGCCTGGCTCTTACTTGCACTGGGTTTACATCCAGCATACCTCCCTGAATTGAATGGAATTACCTCTGATTGTCCACCTGCAGCAGCAACACAGCACTGATGAGTCCTTGGCACAAGCAGGATTTCACCTTAGTTTTCCTCTATATCCCACAGAACCGTAGAAATGCTCTGCTTCTAGCCTCGGTAGGTGAAATGCAAGTTGTGATGATAAATCACTTAGGCATGCTCAGCCAATTATAACTAATAACCTCATCTGCACTCCACCCCTTCTCCTATAGTGCTTGGTGTTCAGAATATTTCTGTAACATCTATATCTATTTGGAAAAAAAAAATACAGACTTAGCAGTCGAGTTGGCAGATGGTTTCAGACACTCTGATCCGCTCTGGGAGAGCGCTCTGCCAGGGGTGTTTATGTGCTTCCAGGTGACAGGACTCACTGGCTGCAATGTTGGACCGTTCGTTGATTTGGTTGCGAGCAAATCTGGCTGCGCTCAGTATCGATAGCCCCTTAGGGAGCTGGTGTTTATTCTCTCTTAGCATTACCGTGATGATTTTATTTTGCTCCCTGAGAGCTGACTGTATTTGGCACTTCAGCAAAGACGCCACCTCGAGGAGCTTGCAGTCTGAGGCCACCCAGCTCTGTATTTGCTTCTTTTTACCGCCATGCACACTCCCCCCCTGGGATCGGGGCACTGCTCGCATGCATAGAGTTGAGTACCCAGATAAGGCTGCGTGAGACTGGGGTGGTTCAATTAATGACTAGTTAGCAGAGGAACTGTTGAGTTTATTCCCAGAGAATAAACCACAGCAGCTGGTCTTTGTCCAAAGTAAGGGTTTGAATTACACTTTGACTCCTGCAGGGTCTGCAAAAAAAATTGGGCTGCCCAACACAACGCCCTAATAGAATCGGAGCCCCCCCCAGGTTATGATGTTCAGATCTTACAGGAGGGCTCTCATCTCTTATGAGGAGGCTCAGCACCCCCAAGCTCCCCCATAATTTGAACCCTGGTCACCGCTACAGCCTCAAGTGGGCAAAATATTGAGATCGCTGATTCAGTCCAGAGAAGGGTGTAGTTTGCGACATTTGATGAATCCCATTGACACTGGCTGGAATTATTGAAAGGTTTGTGTCGTGCGTACAGCTCCTGGCGCAGCAGAGCCCTTGCCTGAGCCTGGAAGTCCTAGGGGCTACCACTACACCAATGTCAGTGGAGGGAGATGTCATTTCTGAGGGTTGGGGGAAACTTCCCAGAGCTTAGCCAGCAGTTGGAGAGGAGACCCTTGATAGGAGACCAAACTACCAGGACTTGTGGCAGACCTGTGATTGGCGCCCACTGCATCTCAGAGGCTGCTGCTAGAGCCTGTTTACGGAGAGGCCAGGGAAGAGCCAAAAGATTCATAGATTGTAAAGTTGGAAGGGACCACAAAGGATCATCGTGTCCGACCCCCTGCCCCTGGCAGGAAAGAGGACCGAGGTCAGACAACCCCAACCAGGTGACTATCAAGCCTCCTCTTGAAGACCTCCAAGCTAGGTGACAGCACCACCTCTCTTGAAGCCCGTTCCAGATTCTGGCCACCCTTACTGTAAAAAATGTCTTCCTAATGTCTAACCTAAATCTACTAGTTTGCACCCATTTTTCCTAGTTACTCCTAGGGGCTGTCTGGTAAACAGCGCATCCCCAATTTCCTGTTGTCTTCTCTTGATAAACCTATAGGCGACTACAAGGTCACCCCTCAGCTGCCTCTTGTGAAGAGATCCAGATCCTTCAACCTCCCCTCATAGGGTCTTGCATGGAGGCCACTAATCTTTTGAGTGACCTCCTCTGGACCCTCTCCAGATCCTCCGTGTCCCTCTTGAAGTGCGGCACACAAAACTGGACGCGATACTCCACCTGTGGCCTGATCGATGCCGCATAGAGAGGGAGCATCACCTCCCTCAATCTGTTGGTCAGGCATCTGGTAATACACGGCAAGGTGCGATTGGCCTTGTTGATGGCCTCGTTGCCCTGCCGGCTCATGTTCATCTTGGAGTCAACTATGACTCCAAGATCCCTCTCTGCCTCTGAGCTGCTGAGGAAGTCATCCCCCAACCTGCAGGTGTGCTGGGGACGTGTGTGACCTAGGTGGAGTACCTTGCATTTCTCTTTGTTGAATTGCATCCTATTTCATTCCACCCATTGAGCCAACCTGTCCAGATCTGCCTGAATCTGCTCCCTGCCCTCCAGTGTGTTGACTTTGCCCCATAACTTGGTATCATCCGCGAACTTGGAGAGGGTGCTCTCCACACCCTTGTCCAAATCGCTGATGAAGATATTAAATAACACCGGTCCAAGGACTGAACCCTGCTAACACTGGTCCAAGATCATCACCCTACAGTGAGCAGCAGAGGCATGCCCAGGATGTCCTGGACCTTCTGCTGTGCCTGTGGATCGGCACAGGACTCGCTCACAGATAACCTCACTGACGTCAGTCCAGCTGCACTGATAGGATTGAGCGTAGGCTTTGGCACGATGTCCAGCTGCTGCTCGGAAATATAGACACACAGATCCCCTGAGTCTGGAACCCCCGCCTCGGCCAGCTCTGCATGGATCAATGCTCGCAGGCCTCTGCTCTCTGCTCTATTTTTATGCCCGGCTCTATCTTTATATCCTGCCCACTGCTTTATACCCTGTCCACTGCCCACTATATCTTTATACCCTGCCCACTGAGACAGTGACACTTTCCCCGTCCCCCAACCACGATGGCGGGCTCCACTTGATTAATCCGGGCAGGAAGATAGTGCTAGAAAGCATGGGAGGACCCATCTCCTGCAACCCCGCAGCATCTTGCAGGCCTTTTCTCTTGTTCAGCTGCAAGAGATCAGGCTGAGACCCCTGCTCTGTTGCTGTCATTGCTCTGAATGCCTCACCCAGGACATATCCCAGTGCATTTAGTCAAACCCTAATGTATTCAGGCCGATCCTGCTCACACACAAGCCTGAATTCATGCTGGCTGGCGAGTGTACTGTTGCCCTTGGCCACCCACATCTTTCCAGGAGGGACTGCCTGCCGGTTGATGGGGTGAGAGCAGAGTTCATAGGGGCAGGATGGTCCGTGCTCTGTCCAGAAGAGACCTGGTCAGGTCCCGGGTAGTTTCTCCTTGTTCTAGGAATTCCTCCTCCAGGTGATCAGACATCAGATTTCCCTTTAGCTAAAGGCACACTCTCAGAAATAACCACACCGCCACTTCTGTCACCCATCCAGATAAAGGCTGGTTTTGACTGGCATTATGGGAAGGGTTTAACATTTGCTTTTTACCAACCCTACAGTTTGCTGACTCTTTTTGCAGGTGGCTTCACCTGAGTCTATTCTAGCCCCTCTCAGTTTCCAGGGCTGCATGTAGGGCCACATTTTTTTGAGAAATGCATGGCCTGAAAAGTCAAGTGGGTTCACACAGGGTGCCAGACTCAGGGTCTGAAGCCTGATAGGACTCCAGTGCTGTACGTCCTTCCTAATGCCGGTGTCCCCCAGCACAGCAAAACATATGTAGGTGGCAATCATTATATCTTTGCTAGGGTGTTGATTTGGCCCAAAGTAGTGTTGCGTCTTGCAGTGCTCCTCCAGCTGTGATGCAGGACCAGGCAACCAATCCCCATCCCGTGATGTAACAGGAAGGGCATGCTTGTGATATGGTATCCCCAGGCAACAGCCCCAATAGCAGGAATCAATCAGATTGATTAGTTGAGCTGAGATACTAAATGGCATGGGTGCCTTGGTCGGCTCAGAAATACGTCAGCGGCTGATGCTTTGAGGCATCGCTCACGCACTCGGATGCTTGCAGGGGATGGGGACCTGATCCCTACCTCCGCATACATCCAGTGGTGCCCTCCTAGCTAACATCTAAATAGGGCTTGTCAGACTGACCCATGCCAAAAGTAAGGTGCTGGACGAGAGCAATCTATGGTCTCACACTATTAATGAATAGCGGGGCACAGTTTTGCATGCAGTGGTGTCTGAGCATCATCTGTCATGTTGTGACAGGCAAAGAGGATGAGAGGGCTCCAGAAATCTCTGCTAACCCATTCCCAGCCCAACCCTGGGACTGCCCCACATCCCCAGAGGAGTTGCCAGGACTTTCGCAGGCTCCAGCCCTGTTCTGTGAAACACCGTGGAGTGAAGCCCTTCAGCACGGCCTCCTTTACCTATACACACACGAGACACCCCCCGCTGCTCTCCTTTCCCATTCCCGGGGCTGCAAGGCACTGTGAGGCAGCGCCCTGTGGCCTGTCCTGACCCCATAAGAGCTGGTGTTTGTGTAGTCAGGAGCTGCCAGGGCCACGCTGTAGCTGGCACATGCAAAAGGAGGGGATGGAAAGGGTCTCTAGTAATACCCATGTGCACTCAGGAGGGAGTGCGGGCTTCATGCTTCCCTCCCCACTTGCACTCTTTTGTATCCTAGTCCCTGAGACCCCTGTTTGCAACCAGAGGCTGATAGAGTAGTGGGGAGATGGCCGCTCTGAAAGCACCCGGATGCTGAACCTGCCAAAGGCGGCAGCCCTCCTGATCCCTGGGTGCACTCAGGAAGTACAAGGGAGTCATCTTTTGGACCTCTTAATTTCTTTTTTTTTTTAATTCTTTAGGCAAGGCCCAGAATACTGCTAGGAGGTAGAGCAAGGGCAAAGAGGGAGATCACTCTGCCCAGCACCACAATGCAGCCACCTCTAGGAAGAAGCCCACACCTCTTGGGCAGTACAGCAGCCCTACTAAACCCCCATTTGTTTCCACGTTGCCGTGCTCGGGTTCCTTGGGTGAAAGCTAATGGGCGTGTTTTTGTTTTTTCCTTGCAGAGTCTCTCACTGGATCTGGCTGGTGACGTAGCAGCAAAGACTTTGAAGCCTTGGACTTCTCTTCTGCAACAGCAGTGTTTTGGGGGAGGGGGGGGTTGGGGGGGGCTAGGGGAAAAATCAGGAGCCAGGGAGCCCCACCAGATTCACTGCAAGCTTGACTCAGGGATGAGTACAAGCCGAGCTAACCACTACAGCATAGTGTCCTCTGAGGAAGACGGGCTGAGGTTGACCACCATGCCAGGAGTCAACGGCTTTGGAAATGGCAAGATCCACACCAGGAGGAAATGCAGGAACAGGTTTGTGAAGAAGAATGGGCAGTGCAATGTGGAGTTCACCAACATGGATGACAAGCCTCAGAGGTACATTGCCGACATGTTCACGACGTGTGTGGACATCCGTTGGCGGTACATGCTCTTGCTCTTCTCCCTTGCCTTCCTGGTTTCCTGGTTATTGTTTGGGCTGTTTTTCTGGCTCATTGCGCTGGTCCATGGAGACCTAGAGAACCCAGCTGGGGACGAAAGCTTCAAGCCTTGCGTTCTTCAAGTGAACGGCTTTGTGGCCGCTTTCTTGTTCTCCATTGAAACCCAAACGACAATAGGCTATGGATTTCGCTGCGTGACCGAGGAATGCCCGATTGCAGTCTTCATGGTGGTCATGCAGTCCATTGTGGGGTGTATAATAGACTCCTTCATGATAGGTGCAATAATGGCAAAGATGGCCAGGCCCAAGAAAAGGGCTGAGACTTTACTATTCAGCCATAATGCAGTGGTGGCCATGAGGGATGGGAAGCTTTGCCTGATGTGGAGGGTGGGGAACCTCCGGAAAAGCCACATAGTAGAAGCTCATGTCCGAGCTCAATTAATTAAGCCCAGGATCACAGAGGAAGGGGAGTATATACCACTTGACCAAATAGACATAGATGTTGGTTTTGATAAAGGCTTGGACCGTATTTTCTTGGTGTCTCCCATTACTATACTTCACGAGATCAATGAAGAGAGCCCCTTGTTTGGGATTAGCCGCCAGGACTTGGAGACGGATGACTTTGAAATCGTGGTTATTCTTGAAGGGATGGTGGAAGCCACAGCCATGACAACGCAAGCGCGGAGCTCATACCTGGCCAGCGAGATCCTCTGGGGTCATCGCTTTGAGCCCGTCTTGTTTGAGGAGAAAAACCAGTACAAAGTAGACTATTCCCACTTCCACAAAACCTACGAGGTCCCATCAACCCCGCGCTGCAGCGCCAAGGACTTGGTGGAGAATAAATTCTTACTTCCTAGCACCAACTCCTTCTGTTATGAGAATGAGCTCGCCTTCATGAGCCGTGACGAAGAGGAAGAAGACGATGACAGCAGGGGTCTGGATGACCTAAGCCAAGACAACAGGCATGAATTTGACAGGCTTCAGGCCACAATAGCATTGGATCAGAGGTCATACAGAAGGGAGTCAGAAATATGACTCTTGGTCCCTCTGCTAACTGTTGTGAGGGTCTTTTTCCTCTCCTCTCTTCCCCTACAACCCGCTCAAATTATGCAGAACAATGCAAGTGCCATAGGAATGCTTGAGAAATTAGTATTGTTCATAGTTTTAAGTCTCATTGCAATAACCACTGAACGGTCTGCGATAGGAAACCACAGCAGGCCACGGAGTGTTTTGAACGTCCAGTGTTGATAACGCTATTAGAAACCGTACTGGAGGCAGATGCAATATGGCAGTGCAGACAAGGGGGAACGGCCTGTGTGATCTACGCAGAAGCGTCTTCCTTAGATGCAGAGAGACCGTGTTTTTTGTTTTCGTGCGTCCGCTAGAAATGCGAGCCTTTTCTCAGAGCTGAGCACTGCGAGGTTCAAAAGGAGGAAATATCAGGAAACAAATCTGTCGTCTTCTTCTTTCTTTCGTTCTTTTTTTTTCTTTCTTCTTTTTCACTGAACAAAAATGAATCTTTCCGGCAGGCAGTGTGATTCAGTTGCACAAAAACAACACTTGAAAGACCATGCAACATAAATACTACTTTTTAATTTGGGGGAGGGAGGTGGGGGGGGTGTTAATTTTTCAACGTAGTGCGTGGGAGACTGTTTACCAAAAAAAACAAAAATTAAAGATGTGATTTGATATTTTTAAAAAATGAACAAGGGAATGAAGAAGCCACATGGGTCTTTCTGGGGGTATGGGATTTCAGTGGGGGTGGAGGGGTTGCAAAGTCAGGACAAGGCAAAACTGCATCCTGATTTTTTTTGTTTTTTGCTGGCCAACTTTTGTAACCTGGAAGCACAAGTGAGTGGCTGCAGCCCAATGGCAGCAGAAGCAAAGAGCACAGTTACGGGCAACATAACAGATAGGGAAAGCCAGGTGTTGTGATGGATCAAACAGTAGCGCTAAAAATAACGAACCCATGTAGAGATAGATCGATGCCTGGGGCGGGGACAGGGCAGGGCATCTCAGCCGGCTTAGCACTGTTGAGCACTGATATTTTATTCTTTTGCACCTTCGATGGCAATGGGGCAGATCCTGGGCCACATCCTCACCTGGCGTGAAGCAAGGGTAGCTCCATTGACTAGCTGAGGATGTAGCAATATGTTCTTCATCATGCTGCTGGCCCTTCAAGTCAATGGAGCTGTAATGGAGAATTAAGAGGGCCCTCATGGGCCAGGCCTCCAATGGATGCAAGTGGAGCTGCCAGACTCGCTTGAGATTTCCACCAGCTATTGGTCTGGCTCAGTATCTCCAATGGGACCATCCATAAGTTTCCAAAAAAAAAAAGAAAAGAAATAAACTCTCAGATTCAGGTGATGCCTAATTTTCCAATTAATTTGAATTGCATTTGAATCAACCTCTCATGAATAATTCAGTTGTTTTAAGCACAAAACGCTACATGCAATAGATATGCTCTTGATTTTGCACAGAGCGCACCTCCCGACGAGTGCTGTTGCCCAGCCCTGTCTTAGCGTCTGCTCTGTTCTGCGCAAGTTGGGAATTTATGAATGACCCCTTTCAGTGGCAGGCTCTAAAATCTGGAGGCAGATGCTCCTCTGAAAACAGCAGATGCCGTGAAAGGAAACCCAACAGGCTTTACCGTTCAACCCCTCGCTGTTTCCAAACCTCAAGGTGGATCGTGCCTTAGAGATGCAAAATGGTTCAGCCACACCAAGCTTTTTCCCAGCACCAAAATCCTCTTAATGCAGTCTTCCCTCCAGCCTTATCGCGGGTCATGTGTCAGCCCGCATGGGTGCAACCATGCAGCAAAAATCATAGAGCAGATCATAGGCAATAAACGGGGGCGCCCGGCCCACGTGACGGGCCGCAATCGATGGCACGCTGTTTGCTATTCCAAAAGGCACAAAGAGTGGACTCCTGTATTTGCTTAGGAAGCCGTCATTCCAGAAGATGAAAGATGCCTGTTCTCTAGCACTGAGTAGAGAAAAAGCCCCAACTCCTATCAGAAGGAAACCCGCCCTGCACCTATCATACCTGTATCCCAATCCCTAGGATTCATGTGAACATCTCTCACTTTCCAAAACCACAGGCCCCTGTCCCTTCAGTCACGGGACACGGGCTGGTACCTATTAGCAATGGAGGCTTGACGGCATGCACAGGAGCTGTTCTTATTCCACCCACTGGCAGGAATGATGTGCACAATCTCTAGCCAGTCCATCCAGTGCAGCTTCCAGCTCCCATGAGAGAGGAAATGTCAGTAGGCACCCTGGGATGTGGTCTTCATCATCCCAACCACTCCTCGCTTTTGCTCAGCTCTCTTTATATTCATGGCACAGTTCACACAATGATAAATGCTGCCTCCTCCCACCCATGCCGTCAAGCAAAGTGTTAGTACCCCCTGCAGTGCAGGGAGGCTAGATGACTTGCCTCAGGACATAGAGGGCATCGGTGTCAGAGGCAGATCCAGCCCTGTAGCACTGGAGACCCCCTCTGCAAATCCCCTTTTTGAGTCAGTGCTGTCGGCTGTGGTTGAAGGGCTGGTTGGAAAGCTCGCACCGCTGTAATTTGCCCCGAGGAACGAGGTGGCTCACCCAACTACAGAGGCTGCCTCTCAGTGGTGTTTTTCTCCAAGACTTTCTGGCACTGTTTCCAGCATCCTTTAGCGACTGAAAGCTCTGTGCTACTCATTCAAGGGGCAGGCCTATTTTTGGCTTCTTCTAAATGGCATGCAGTCCTGCTAGGGCGAAAAGGGGAGGAAAGCATCTGCTCCTGCGTGATAAATGTCAGTCCTCCTGGGACGTCTGAGGTCTGGCCTGGGGCCGGGGAGGCTTGGATTCTGATCTCAGATTGACAAAAGATTTGACACGTGGTTTGGGTAGAGCTCCTAATTCCTCTCTCCTCGCTCCTCTGTGTGTGAACTGGGGGGAGCTTCAGAGAGCAATTCAGAGCTATGTTAGTGTGAATGCGTCCAGTTCACCCCCAGGCCTTGTACTCGCCGCAGCAATGTTTGGACAGTGCCCTGAAGATGCTCAGAGCTGAGCAATTAGCTCCTAAGTACCCAGTGCATGTGTTCACACAGTCAGCGAGGCTCAGAGACACATTTCCACCCCCCGTATGAATCCCAAACCCAAAGGACATGACTCTTTTGTGTTTCTAAGGCAGAAAATACAGATGCCATCACATCCTACCCACCACCAGCTCCCAGGTCCAGCTCAACCCTTACAACTTCCTTTCCTTGTTTTGAAGGATAATTATGGTGCCTGCTTCTTTGAGCAACAGGGAGGGGAGGATGGGGGAAGACGGGTGGGGGGGTGGAGGGAAGGCAAAAAGATTTCTTGATTTAATTATTTATTTATTTTTTATTTTTTAAACAAATGCTTTTTATATGGTTTTAAGGGGGTTTTTTGTGGGGGGGAGGGAGGGGAAATATCTCACAGTAAATATTTGTATAAAAATGAAAGGCGAATAGAGATGTCTTTAAGTAAATTATTGCTTTTAAAAAAATTATATACTTGTACAGTCCAACTTGGGAGAATAGACTATTCTATACATATGTATTTTTAAACTACTGCATAGGAGGATGGGAAGTAGTTTTGTTGGGGGAAAAAATACCTGTGCAGACCCAGTGAACTGAGTTTCAAAGACTCCTTCCCAATCCTGTTCCCACCCCCTCTCCCCAAGCCCCGAGACTGGGGGCTCTAGCTATGTTATATACACTGTATAGTTCTAGAGATGGAACGTGCTGTTACATACTGTATTAATACTATTTTTGCCTACCTGTGAGTACTATAGGTTATTGGTCTTCTTACTACTATCAGGGAGCAATATAAGGATGTCCCTACAGTTTCCTGTAGACAACTAACCCATAGTATTATCACATCCAAATGCTCATGTTCCAAAAGAGAAAAGCCAAAAAGTTCTGTTTTTCTGGTGTTCGTAAGGAGGACCATCTTCCACCTCTGGCGAAGCTCGTGGCATAGATCGAGTGGTCTACCAAAGGGCCCTCCAATAGTGTTCTTTATGTCCGTTGTATGCGTCGACAAGCCATTCAGGAAGAAGCCTTTTGGCTCTACAAGGCTGGCTCTTGCTGGCTGGGGTGTGGGGGTTTAAAGCATTTTGCCTTTACAAGGCGAGAGGCTTCCCTGGCTGCAGGCTCCACGTTCAGCTCTTAGGTGGAGTCGATCTGCTCAGGTCAGGAGCCAGGCGATGGCGTTCCTCTGCATTCATACAGGTGTGGCTAGAGCAGACTTTGGACTTAATATTTGCAGGGTCATGAGACGTTCTGTAGACTTGGGTCCTGGGGTCTTCATCCCTGACAGCATGAACATCTCAGCACACCTCGGAGCTCTCCCCCTGTCCCCACCCAATGCAGACCAATGGGACTGGGCAGTGCTTTGTCCGCTCCCTGCCAGCCTCTTTGTCTTTCAGCTTTGTTTTCTGCCGGGCTTTGTTTGCTTGCTTGTTCTCAATTTCTGGAGATCAGAGGAGGCAGGCGGGGGGAGACCTTCACAGCAACCCATGACAAAGCCACTTTTGGGAAGGGCTTTTGGAGCAGGGCAGATGAGGAGATGGAGGAGTAGAGCATCTGCCACCCGTTTCCTTTCAGCTTCACGTACTATGCGCCTCTAGTTAACTCCCTGCTGCCACACGTAGTCTTCAGAGACTCTTAGCAGTCAGAGATGGACTAGAGGCACTATGTCCTTCCTCTGTGCTGATATCCTGCATAGATAATGAAATCTTCCTTAGCCAGGGCTCCGACTAACCTTGAACAGGGCACAGTGTTTGCCTGGCTAGGACGCAGAACCGGTTCTTGCTCTCATTTTTGCTGGTACAGGTCCCCATCAAGTCCAGGGGGTGCAAAGGCCAAACCAGAAATTGTCCTACTTCCTTGTTCTAACATCTCCAGTCTAAAAGAAGAGCACTGCTTGTCTTTAAGGTGTTTATGCCTGTACGCTACAATGCAGAGAAAGCCGAGCTACCACTGAATGAGCTAGCTACAGTGTTGGAGCTAGTGTAGCATGGCACTCTGCCTGGACTATTCAGCATGTATTAGCCCAGCTGGAGCATCCTGCTAATGTGGTTATATGTTTCTAGGACCCCAGGTTAGTTTGTTCTATGCCAGCTCAGGTATCGCCTTGTAGCACTGCATTGCGGCGCTAAGTATCTGCAACACACCTCGCCTGCCTTGCCTGCCATGAGGAATTTAAATCCCCATTTCCCCAACCACTGGTTGGTCAAAGGTCTCCTCTGCTCTGCCCCTGGGGGTGGTCTCTGGGTGACTCAGCCCAGCTCTCTGCTGTCCATCAGCCATAAAGTCAATCTCTGCTTGCATGCAGGGAATGGGAATCGTTGAGATGAGCCTTAGCTTCTTCTAATTGAATCTAGTGCACTTAGTTTTTGGGCTGGGACAATCCCTTCCCCTTCCCCTTTTGAGATGTGGTGCCTGCTTGACCTTTTGTAGGAGATGAATTCAAAGCCACCTTTTCTATCTTTGATAAGGCAGAACAGATGTGTTTATTTTTAAACTTGCTTGCTCTTTTCTTTTCACTTGTGCTGAAAACCAAAAGAGTTGCTCCTGCTTTCCTTGCACATCGAAAGGCCACGCCATCAGAGCAGTGGGCTTCTGAATCAGGGGGCCACAGGCCAAGATGCAAAGCTCTGGATCTGGATCCAGTGCTTAGCCCCCTTGGCGTTCGGGAACGTGGTGCTCTGGCTGGACTGAAGTTGGCCAAGACATATGGGGTGGGGTTTGGGATTTAGTGAGGCGGATCTAAAAGTTTGTTTGGGTGGTCATGTTAGGCCAGATTTTGATGCTACTCGCGATACAGCAAAGCACTTTTGCATAGGCTTAACTGTAACAATGTGACCAAACTCACCCAGAGTCCACAAAGCACTTCCTAACTCTAAGCAAATGCTAAAATGCCACGGTGAATCGGCTCTCTAGGACCAGATCCTGAGCCCCTTACTCAAACTCCAACTTGACCTCAGCTGGAAAGTTGTCTGTGTGGGGAGAGAGTAAGGAATTTCCTGATTTGGTCCATGATTCATCCTCTGACTGCTGGTTTTGATCGGGATTGACAGAGGGCAATACGCAGAGAAAATCCACTGGCTTTCATTCTATTTCTGAAAGTTGCTTCCTTGTCTTTGGACTACGTTGTATCTCTGCTCTGCTGCATGCTTGCCTGGGTATTTCTCTGAACAGGAGCCCGGCCTGGTGAGCTCCAGACCTCCCTGCCTTTGGCTGGTGTTTTAACAGTCCCCGTTTGACACGGCAGGGTTTCTAGGACTGATTCTCTATTGCTCCAAGTCACTATTGCTTCACGTGGAGTCATTTCCACTACTGCAAAGTGAGTAGAAAATGCTACCCAATACCAGTAGTCACGTTCTGCTGTGGTCACTCATGCTAGCGCAAACCCTACGATCATTCTGATCTGACAGGTCAGACTGAACTCCACAAGGTTCTGGGCAAGAAAACTACTATATCCTCAGGAAGGTTAGTGGTCAGAGGGCATTTGTGTCCGGGAAGAGAAGATAAGGAGGAGATAGTGTCCATTTTCTAAGGCCAGTTTTTTATAGAGCAGTTGGAGAAGCTGGCAGACCCTGTAGGAATGTCTGTATCTTTTCCACCTCCGGTATTTGTGTGTCATTGCACATATATTTGAGATATATGTGCAAGTATATCTGTATATATTTGTAAAATGTATTTCAAATGACAAAACTGGCCAATTTTCATGTTATTTAATATACCAAACAGAGCATACATATATGTATATATATATGTATGTGTGTATGTATGTACATATGTATTATATATATGTATGTGTGTATGTGCATATGTATTATATATGTATGTATGTACATATGTACTATATATATGTACGTATGTATGTGTGTATGTGTATATATATATATATGTACATATACATTGTATGTCTATATGTATGTACATATATATTATATGTGTGTCTGTATGTATATATGTATGTATATGTATATATGTATGTATATGTATGTATATATGTATTTATGTGTGTGTATGTGTATATATCTATATAGAGATACATCTATATAGAGATATATCCATATCTCTATATCTAGCTACAGCTAGACAGACAGATAGATAAATATATATGTAAGGGTATCCAAAAGATATAAATAGAATAGAGAAACTAATATAAATCTGTAATAAATGTATTTTGAGCTATTTAAAATATATTGAATGACGCTGTATATTTTAAAGTCCTAAGGAACTGTCTGGCTGTCTTGCATTTTAAATCTATTTTATAAGCTGTTATTGTTCACACATAAAAATTAAATGTGCAGCCAACTCTGCCAGATACTGAGCAAATATCTGGGCAAGCTATGTTAAGCAGTCGGGCGACAACATGAAGAACGTCAAGCCAGTTAAAGCAAAGAGAACCGGTGTGCAATCCCTGCCCTCCTAGGCTTCCCTTCATCCTCCCTGCAGAAGCAGAGAGCCTAACAGTTGTTTGAGGTCTGATCTCTCCACTGAAAGCTGGATTTGATTGAGTTCACGGGGGTTTCCTCGTGCTCTCTCAACACACATGAACTCTCCGCTGGCCGGGGTGACTGATGTGGCAAAGGGGTTGGGGTGGGTTGGAGCTCTGTCCTACTTTGGTGACAGGAAGCGGAGGGGATAACGTGAGAGAAGATGGGGGGGTCTAAGATTTTAAAACATTTTAGGAGACTATTTATTTTCAAGGGCTTGGTTGTCATCTCACTTCCTTTCAACCAGGCTATGGCCTGTTGATGTTCCTGCATTATAACAGAAGATCCCTTAAGGCTTGTCTTGGTTTTAACAGTGACACAGGGACAGGCTTGCAGGAAGCACCGGTAGGGTGGAGGGCAGCAAGCCACTAGTGCCAACAGCAGAAAAGTACTGAAGTACGTAGGAGAAAACCTACAGAAGAAAGGATCTCACATTGGAAAGAAAAGTGTGAAGAAAGAGAGGAGAGCAGGGAGTGCGTGTTGAGCCAAACCTGTCTGTGAGGATGAGTGAGCCCCAAAACTGCACAAGACGTCTGTTGTCCAAACTGTCCTTGGATTCTGGTGGGAGTTACCTCCGAAAACCCAGTTAAGTAGCTGCACATCTAGCTACTGGTTTCGGGAAGTTAGTTTACTCAGAGAGTCGTGGGATCAGAAGTTGAATTGTGAGTTTCCACAGGCCCACGGGTGTGTTTGTATAGAGGGGTTTTGCAGATGGGTTACTGCAGGTGTGGCAGGTTTATGCATCTCTTTTGCAGATGC